ATAAAACTTCTTGTGACATTGCCCTTTTGGCCTTAGCTTCTGCCCTTTAATAGCTAGCTAACTGGACTGACACGTTCTATAGCTATGTTCACGATTTAAATAGTTTTCCATCACGTTTATCAACCTCATGAAAGCCCTACATATTTTGTGAGATTTGCTAGTTCACTTTGTAATGGTTTTTCATTGCACAGCCTGCAAGACATTGGGAAACACAGGCGTGAACATAGATGATACTGTGAAGCAGAGAAAGATATTAGAGGAGGCCCAGACTTTTTCTAAGAATATTTTATTATGTTATGATTCAACACCAAAAACAGATTACATGGCCAATAAATACTTGAATTATGAGGGCACTTTGGTATATAAGAATTCAGTGTAGGATAAAGGTGGTTTTTTTTTTTTTTAACTTTTAAGGTGACTTTAAATATGAGCAGGGAAAGTGGATCATTCTCTAAAAGTTAAAAAAAAATAAGAGAAAAAGTTAGAGCCATAATTTAACTAATGCCAGGGCCTTTGGCTCCTGCAACTCTTTGTCTCCTTTGAAGAGGCACAGACCCTTGGCTTGTAGTCACTTAGAAGATATTAATGACCAGATACTTCCATATCATGAGAGTCACTCAGTTTCCTTAGACTAACTTGGCTGAGAGAGGATATCTTTCACAAAGATTTCATATGTTCCAATAACACAACAAGTGTTGGGTTGTTTTCTTGAAGTTTAGTATCCGCTCCTTGTCTTGCCAGGGTCCAGGACAAAAGGGCAGGAGGGTGGTTTCCTGATGCTTATTTTGTTTAGTCATAGTTGGGCTTCTCTACATCATTACCAGCATCTGTTTTCTAGAACCCTAGCAACGTTGTCAGTGGAGAAGGGCATTTTATCAGAGGAACATAAGTAGCAGAGCTGTTCTGAAACAGACCTTCTCAAGTGGTATGCCACAAATTGGTTCCAGATGTGCTAATGTGCCCTTCCAGTGGTGGAGCTCAGGGCCTCCTTGACTCTGGCAATTGTTACATAGTCTCTGCTTTTTAACTGTGCACCATACATGATTTTCCTTTTCTTTCTGTGCCATGATTACAAGTTGGGGACCACTGTCCTCAATAATTAGCTGCAAACAAAGGGAACACGAATAATATCATTATGCAAAGAGTCCTTTGGTTTAGGGAAGAAAATCGCAGATTGTAGCAGAGAATGGATGAGGGGGCAGGTTAGACTTTTTCCTGAATCTCTGAATTCACTCCAGTTCTATTTTCACATTAGACTGTATCACTAATTTACATTAGTATCAGCGTTTTGCAGTTTTAACCTGTTCTAGTCCTTTATACATGCCTAGATAAATTCCAGGAGGAATAAAGAGTTGAGAAGTAGTCATAAAATAATGAAGAGGAAAATCAGAGGAAAACATGTGATACAGGGGTTAGCACAGACAGAAAGAAATCAGAAATTAATGCTCCCTGTAGTTGTATTTAAACAAAAATGAGTATATCTAAAAAATCTAAGAACAAATTTAAAAACAAGCAAATGGGAAGATATTAGCAGTAACAGTATATATGATTTTCAATAACATTCTACAAATAAAAATCATTTTAACCTAGAAGACAAACATCTCAATAGAACATAGCCAAATGACGTCAGGAGATGATTGACAAATGAAGAGCTGCAAATGACCGAGAAATATATGAAACATTGAGCTGCAGATGTAAATGCAGATTAACAACTGAGAAAGTTACATAAGAAATTTGACAGATTTTATTTTAGTTTAGGGGAAACAGGACACTTACATAAATGCTGGTATTTGTGTAAAGTGATGAGCATTTTTATAGGTCAGTTTGGTAATACATTTAAAAAATGTTTTAATCTTCATACCCTTTGATCTTACATTTTAATTTAGGAGTTTATTCTGAAGAAATCAGAAGTGACATGAAGAGATATGAAAATGATATTCATTACAGCTCTATACTGTGATACAAACGAGAAGCAATTGAATTCTACAAAAGTGAGAGTAATGGATTATGGATTATCATATGATGGAATCATGGGCAGTCATTAAAATAATATCTTTGGAGAATAAGGTATGGAAAATATTGTCTGTGTGCTGCTTAAATTGCATGTACATTATTTAAATATACTATATGCCATCTAAGATACTCTTAATTGGAAGAGGGATCATTTTCTCTGGCACTAAGGAAGAAAACAACAACAAAAATAACACCCAAGATCTGAATTCTGATAGAAGATCCTGGCATAAAACTAGGCAGAGTCAGGATAAATGAGAACTGGACTTGTCTCTGGAAAGGGACAGCAAAGAAGCCAGTTGGTCTTCTTTCAGAGTGTGGTTCCAATTCCTACAGCCAACCACCATGGGCCCAGAAAGCTTCAAGCAAAGAGAAACATAGTGTTCACAGTTGGTAGTTGCCCAGGTAGAAGCAAACATAAGTCCCCTGGCAGAAATTGGACTTCATGCAGATAGACACAATTTTTTTTTCTTTGGAACTTGGTCAGTGATTTTTTTTTTTTAAAGATCCCATTGATGCTAAAATGAATTTTGATATTAGAGTTGTTAGAAATGAAAAATTTTGTCTGGAGTGAAAGGAATATACTATATACATGCAGTTGGTGGGAACTACTCTGCAATTTAGCAGTAAAGTCTAATCTGTTGAATTACGTATGTATTATACAAAACTTCCATTAACATTTATTACATATATATATTTTTTATTAAGCAGGCTGCCTGCTGAGCAGAGAGCCTGATGTGGGGCTCAGTCCCAGGACCCTGCGATCATGACCTCAGTCGAGGCAGAGGCTTAACCCACTGATCGACCCAGGTGCCCCTATTACATATGTTTAAATGTTTACCTTAATTAGGATTCCCATAATTATTTCTAGTCTATTTTCTTAATTTGAATCTCCTCTGTTAGTATATTTTGAATCATTACCAACCTTTGGCAGTGAAGCTCAGGCATTTTAGAGTTTTTATAATTTCAGCATTTTGGAAAAGAGCTATATTTATTTTAGCTACAGATTTGTGGGTTTTTACTGTTAGCAGGTGTATGAAAAGTCTTCCAAAACACTGGATCCCTGCATTGAGAGAGGAAAAAAGGAAGCGTGTTTAAGAGCACAGTCCCTGGAGTGAGAGCCATGCTCAAATTTTAGCGTTGACACATACTAGTCGTATGACCTTAGGCAAGTTATTTAAGTGGTCTAAGACTCCGTTTCCTCATTTTTAAAACAATGGTAATTGTATAGTTGAGAGAATGGAATGAAATAATGTAAAATTCCCATCATATAATATCCTGGTTACCATTTCTAAATCAAGGTCTATGAGACAAACTGCTTGAAAATGTGATTTATTTTTTTTAACATCCCTTTGCTTTACTTCATTGTAGTCACTCTTAACAATGATCATGCATAAGACATACCTTTGAAAATGTATAATCTCTGTAGTGCTTTCCTTTTTAAATGACATATTCCCTATCCCAGCAAGTAGAAAAATGGGGTGCACTCTTGATTAGCATAACCTTGATGCAGAAAACAGAAAAGGAAAATTTATAGGCCACTCTCGTTGAACAAAGATGCAAAAGTCCCAAACAAACTAAAGTGGCCAGCAAACCAAATCCTGCAACACACAACTAAGAATTATACATCATGACCATATTGGATGTATTCCAAGGAATGCAGGACTGGTTTAACATTAGAAAATCAATATAATTTGTCCCATTAACAGAATAAATGAAATAAATATGATCACCTCATTTAGATGCAGTAAACCATCTAACAATTCAACATCCATATTCCTTTTCATAAAAAAAGTAATTCTTAGCAAACTAGAAGGGAACTTCTTAAATCTCATAAAAAAATATTTACCAAAAACCTAAAATAAAGATATTAATGGTAAATTCTCTGGTATGTCCCTGTTGGGTACAGTTTTGAAACCTAAGTTTTGATTTCTTTTATTTCTGAAACAGAAATAAAAGAAAAAGCTTTTTTGTTCTTCACTATTAACAATTTTTGTTCTTTTAAAACTAATGTATTCTCCCATTTTATCTTACTTTGAAATGATATAGTCTCTCGTGTCTCCTAAATCATTCATTTTATTGTTAGTTTTTCCCAACTATTGTGTCCCAGAATTCTTCCTTTGTATGCTCAGTGCTTCTGCTTTAAAAAGGCAGAAAATCTAAATGTAAATGTTTTTTTCTCAATGTGAAAACTCTGAGATTCAGATCTCAGCTATGACTGTTCTAGAATTATCATCATCGGAACTCTGGTAGTGTTGGTCACCAGAGTTGTGTCAGCTCCTGACTGGAATGGATCAGTTGTATTTCACCAATGATTGTCGACAGTCAGTCCTGTATTATTAAAATGTTCCTTGCTGTGACACTAAACATAAAGGCTGGTATAATCTTTTAATTATAGGACTCTTAGAAGTTAATTTTATGCAGTAGACATATGGTAACAGTTTGGTGTACATCCTTGGAAGATCCCAGGAGCAACAGAGATGAGTGAAGAGCAGACGGTGAATGAGCCGGAGAGATGCTTCTGTGAGCAGTCTTGTGGGTTGCATCCTCTCCTTACATTCGAAGACCTAGCCACGAGCCTTGCATGCGCACTCATTCTGTTATTCATCATTGTAAATTATACGTAGTTCCACGTTTAAATAAAACCGCATTTTCAAAATTACAATGTGTCATAGCTCAATAATAGTCTGATTATATACAAAAGTACCATTTCATTTTCCATTATGCTTTGATAACATGGAAAAAGTCAAAATCGCTTTTCTTGGTTTTCCTCAAGGGCAGCTGAATATACTTAAAATACTATTTCATTATAAGACAGAGCCTTATCATATTTGGAGATTGGTGGGATAAATATTGCCATGTAACTGATAGGTTTAGAGAAGTATGCTATTTTCATTATGTTCAGGAAAAAAAATATGTACTTACAATACAGTAGATCATATTCTAGTATTAGATTAGTACAAAAATGCCTGTTCGGCTGGAGTAATTTTTGAAGCTAAGTCTTAATGAATTTAGTTACTTCAGTTACCTAAGGGTTATAATCTGATTTTAAAATAACCAGTTTTCAAAGAATACAATAAAATATTCATAGTGCTAAAACTCTGGGGAGCTTAATTTAATCACTGATGACTCAGGAGGAAAGTCAGAATCTTGCAGTGCCTCATTTCATAATGAACCTCACTTAATGTAGGGTAAAGTGAAAATTCTAGTTATTTGAATTTCCTATTTGGATTATGAGTAAACATATATATTTTGTAAAGGTCATGAAAGCTTTGTTATGTATGTTCGCATGTATTTTCCTATAATCCTGCTTACCCCTGTTATGGGCATTACAGAAAAGAGAGTTTGAAACTTACTCACCTTGATTAGAAAGCACACATGAAAAATTACTCTGGTTACTCTAAACCTGAATTTCTCAAAGAAGGACATGTGGACCACCTCTTCTAGAATCATCTGGGGTACTTGTTAGAAATGCAGATTCCTGACTCCTTCACCAAGCCTGCTGAATCCCTGTATCTGGAGAAGGTCCCAGGATAGTAACAGGCTCTCCAGGTAACTCTGACAAAAGTTTGAGACTCGTTGCCAGATGGCTTATGGATCTGAGCTCTCAACCTCGGGTAGGCAGCACCAAAATCATTCCTCCTGTGGATGTTGATACAGGAAAAAAGTGACAAAGATTGAAATGGGTGTGTTACTTCCCACAGAGTATGAGAACAGGAAATAATATGTTCTGCCGTCAGACCAAAGGAATTTTAGAGGCAAAGCTGGAAATAGTTCAGAGCTGTTTCATTCATATTTATAACATCATTGCTTACTTAAGGTTTAGATTTCCTGATGTGTTTTTCTTTATTGATATGAAGTAACCTAAAGTTACCTAAAGCTGAGCATCATTTGATTCATTTGGAAGATGTTTTTTATTATTTTAATGTTTTGCTTTTACCCCAAGCACTATAGCAAATGTCTCTTCGGGGTTTCTTTCCCCTGAACATTTTGAGTGTTCAGAGCTTTGGTTGTGATATAATGTGTATTTTCATTAATGTAAGCCAATTTTACTTGTAGTTCTAGTTGTAATTGTTACTACTGGGTGCAGAATATAGAAGGAACTTTTTTTTTTTCTTATAAACATATATTTTTTTCCCCAGAGGTACAGGTCTGTGAATTGCCAGGTTTACACACTTCACAGCACTCACCATAGCACATACCCTCCCCAATGTCCATAACCCCACCCCCCCCCTCCCAACCCCCCTCCCCCCTAGAAGGAACTTTTTTTTAGAGGGAACATTTTCTTTTTTTCATTTTGTGTCACTGTGGGAAGATAAATGGATGATAGTTTTATTTGGTCCATTTGTTTTTCCTATGAGAGTTGAAACATGCACAAATTCACCACCTCCCTCCCTACCCCTTCAACAATACCCTTTCCATCCTCCCACCCCCATCTGAAGGGTCAGTCAACAGTATTACACTCATTACACTATAGGAAGTTGCAAAAGTAGACTCTACTCTCCTTTCCTGTATTCTGTTACTGCTGAGAATTCAGTCTGTATCCAAGTCTTGCTCCATAACTCAATATCCACTTTTGCCCAGGGGCAGCTTTCACTAAGCCACAGGTCAATCATGAAGACTGGCCTTAGTTTTTCATCCACCTGTCTTCTCCAAAATGCTCCTCAGCCACATGTACTGTGGGCCTTCTGGTTTTACTATGGGCTGTTCTTTTTAAAAATTTTTTTAAAGATTTTATTTACTTATTTGATATATAGAGAGTGAGAGCACAAACAGGGGGAGCGGCAGGGGGAGAGCGGCAGGCAGGGAGAGGGAAAAATAATGTGGGACTGGATCCCAGGAGCTGGGGACCATGACCTGAGTTAAAGGCAGACGCTTAACCAACTGAGCCACCCAGGCGCCCCAAGGTCTGTTCTTGAAATAGTGTTGATCATCAGTTCTGAATCCTAGTCTCTCTGTTTACAAGAGGAAGGGGTTGAGACCATACTACTTTCTCCTTGCTATCTTGACCTTTTAGCCTCCACAAATGAGACACCAGCACCTGGAGAAGATAATTTCAGACAGAATCAAAAAAGTAGGAAAGATACGGGTTAAAGCTCTCCAGCACTACTTTGGGTTTTTAGTTGCATCACCCAGGGGATAAGACCTTAAGGGCTGGAAGCTTTTAGACCGAGAAAGCACCTTCCTGAATGCTCCTGCCTGTTCTGCTTTCAGGTTTGTACTACCACCTCAGAAAGCTTTCCTTCTTTGAATCTTTCAACTGCCTCTCATCCTTCACTGAAAGGGACGTTCTTGTCTGAGCCCATCTTCCTTCCTGCTGATACCATACACTGTGCAGTCAAGGAAGGCCACGGATTTGGGCTGTGTAGAGAAGAAACTACCTGCCTAGTTTCACATGTGTATGTGCATGTGCGTGCATGTACGTAGGACGGGGTGATGGACAAGCTGACTATGGGTCCTCCAACTCCTGTTTTGTTTTTTTATTTTTTAAGATTTTATTTTTTGAGAGGAGAGAGAGAGCAAAAGAGCACAAGTGTGAGCAGGAGGGAGGGGCAGAGGCAGAGGGAGAAGCAGGATCCTCCTGAGCAGAGAGCCTGATGTTGGGACTCAATCCCAGCTACACACGCTTTCATGTAGATCAGACGGGACCATATAAAACCCATATATTGAGAATAGGATAGAGCCACAATATTAGTAAGGTTTATGCCCTGGCGGGAAAATAAATAGGTCTGTAAAGAACTATTTGACGTCTTTATGGGTCTCTTCAGGAGCCACCAAAGAACTGGACTAGATCTAAATGACTTTCTCTCCATTTCACAGTGGTCACATTGCACAGATTTGTTTCAGAATCTGCCTCAGAGAAGTAAGAGGTTGAAGGGAGGAAGGAGTTCACCAGTTTTTCTCTAGGGTTGCCAGATTTAGCACATAAAAGTATAGAATGTCCAGTTACACTGAGTTTCAGATAAATTATGAATAATGCTCCATGAAATATTTAGGACATACTAAAAATTATTTGGTGTTTAGATTTATCTGCGTATCCTGAGTTTTATCTGGCAACTCCTATCATACTGCCACTACTTAGAGTAGGGACTCTACCTCGAATTTGGGTATCTGCACCTGCCTGGGTGGTGTTCCCAACGCTACTCTTCTGATTTACCCCCACTGCCTACCACACACTAAGTTTTTTTTTAAAGAATTTCATTAAGTTTCTCTTCCACACAAGAAATTATGCTCCAAAGGGATTTTCAGTGTGTAACTGTATACTAAATTTGTGTGTATGTCTGTTATGCATTTCCTTGGGGACCTTTTTCTTTTATCAGAATCTCAAAGAGGCATCTTCAAGCTATGTAAAGAACTGTGACTTATACAAAGAAACAAAAGTGGGTGAATTTAGAAAAATGCACCTTGCCTCAATCCTTACTTTTCCTTTAGACATCAGTAGTTTGAAAGCCCCTCATATCATTCAACTCCCACCAACATCTTGTAGAATAGGCAGGACAGACTGCTTCTTAAAAATTACTGCTTACATTTCAAAGGTAGGGTCACTAAATCCCAGACATGTGAATTAGAAAGTCATACACAACTATTACTTGGCACAGGCAGAGTTTGAATAGAAATCTGTCAACTGCAAGTTTCTTTCCTTCTCTACTTATATAGACCACCAACTTAATAAAATCAATTTTGGTACAATACTTTAAGCTACAGCTTGAAAACTGTATATATTTGAACCTCAGAAAGGTTTGTATCTCTGAAGAGATGTTCTTATGCCCTTCCGTCTGGCGGACCTTGTCACTTAGCTGTCAGTTACAAACCACAACTCTTGGATGTTTGGCCATTTGACCTATAGGGATGGCTTTTCAATGTGGTCACGTGCTGGAATATACCCATATTCCTTGCTGCTATTCTCAAATATTTAGAGACTATTAAGGTGTTTCACTGTCAGTTTATAAGTCTTTATAGTAATAAAAATCATTAATATTTTATGTTTACTCATTTGAAAGCATAAAAGGAATAATAGTGTGGCCATTCATCCATTCTGTTTGGTTCTAAATTTTGTCTTTTTCCACAAATCAAGTGTGTTCTCCAAAAAAATAGAGCTTCATTTGCCTCTCGGGCTTCCATACTTTTCCTCCAACCTCTTTAGTCTCACCGTCTTTTTTTTTTTTCCTTTTTAAAAATCATTTTATCTTATTTTTTTCATCATGATAAGTGCATTCTTTAATCCCCATCCCTTATGTCCCCTATCTCACCCTCCCTCTGTTAACCATCAGTGTGTTGTCTGTTATTGAAATGTTTCTTCCTCTTTTTTTCCTTTGCTCATTTTTTTTTGTTTCTTAAATTCCACATATGAGTGAAATCTTATATTTGCCTTTCTCTGGCATATTTCACTTGGCATAATACACTCTAGCCCCATCCATGTCATTGCAAATGGCAAGACAGCCATATAATATTCTATTCTATACACACACCATCATCTTTGTGCATTGATGGATACCCGGGCTGCTTCTATAGTTTGGCTATTGTAAATAATGCTGCAATAAGCGGGTGCCTGTATCCCTTCAAATTAATGTTTTTGTATTTGGGGGGTAAATACCCAGTAGTGTAGTTCCTGGGTTATAGGACAGTTCTGTTTTTAATATTTTGAGGAAACTGCATATTGTTTTACACAGTGGCTGCACCAGTTTGCATTCCCACCAACCATGCCCTTGCTGACCATTGTTTTTTTTTTTTTTTTTAATCAACCTACGGATGTCTTGTGATTTATATACATTTCTATGCTATCTGTAACCCAGTCGTCCCTCTATATGTGTGACTTTCATATTTAGTTGTCTAGATGAACATTATCTTATGTGTCTAAAAGCCATTTCAAACTTAATGTGGAAAACTCAGCTGCTAATAAACTATCCCAGCACCCACTTCCACGACATCCCTATCTTTCTCATGAAATGGCCATTCTGTAATGCTCAGGGAGGGGGGAAAAGGAAAAGGAAAAAAAGTATAGAGGTGTTCTTAACTTTCTTTCAAACCCTACAACTGGTATGTCAGCAAATCTTGGGGGCCCTTCTTTCCAAATACATCTTCAGTTTGATCCCTTTTCGCCATCTCCACTGCTTCCCTACCCCAAGTCACAGTTACCTCTCACCTGGATTACTTCGTGAACCTCCTGATTGGTCTCCCCTTCTATCTCTGCACTCCTTAAAAGAACAGCCAGAGAAAGTTCTCTGTGAAGATATAAATCAGATCATGTTGTTTCTGTGTAAAGCCTATTATAGCCTCCCATCTCACTACAAAGAAAGCCAAAATCCTTATAAATGACCCATAAGACCCTACATGATTGCCTCTTGAGCCACAACCTTTGATGCTCCCTCCACAGCCCCTTTTCTCCCTCTTCTCCCCATGGCAGCCTCCTGGATGGTCCTCGTGCAGGGCAGGTCTACCTCTGCTTTGGGTATTTCCTCTTTGCTTGCTGTTCCTCTTCTCTCAAACACTAGCATGGCTTCCTTCTTTTTTGTATGTCTTTAATGTTACTTTCCCAACGCTTTTAGCAACCTTCCCTGCCTTATTTCTCTTGTTAGCAGTTATCACTTTAATATACTAAGTATCTTGCCAGTTTACCTTATTGTCTCTCCAGCTCATAGTAAGCATTAAGTAAATATTTGTAGAATGAATGAATGCAAAGATGATTTTCCTGTGTTGAAGATATTTTAAAAATTTCATCACATATTTTGATGGCAAATCTAAAAGTGGTTTTCACAAAGTAGTTTGAGTAATGATAAGTGTAGCCTTCTAATATGATTCCTTTGAGGAAGTGAAGACTTAAAAACATATTTGAAAACATTTACTATTACTAAACCTGGGTATAAATATAAAAAAGTTTTTGAAGAAAACATGTGTTGAAAGAATTAACTAAATCTCAACAGACTTCCTTAAGAGGTGATTATGAATACAAATGTAGGACTCTGAACTGTGAAGAGAAACTATGAGTCATTTCAGACAGGAAGTCATATTAGATAAAGCTTAAAAGGCAAAGAGTGACTCTGGTGATTGAAAGTTGGTAAGTGATGATAAATGTTAATAGTATTATATTGATACTTATTAAGGACTTACCATTAGCTATCGTGCGACTAAGTGCTAAGCATCATGAGTGGTAGATATCTTTATTTTTTCATTCTACAGAGAATAAAGAATATCAAAGCTTGGAGTAGTTAAGTAACTTGCCTATTGTCCCATTAGCTTTAATGGTGGAAGCCATCCTTGAATTTAGATCTGTCTGAGGCCAAAGCCTAGGTCCCTGACCAGTAAGTGGAACTATTTGATTTGGAGATTAACGGCAGTTCACAGGGTGAAATTTAGGCAGAAGTAAAACTACTGCAGAAAATCCTCTAGGGAGGCACCATTTTGGAGAGCAACATGGTATTTCCCAGAAGGCCCAACACAGCCAGGGTTTCCTGTACCTCTGGATCACATTGAAGCTGCTTTGGCTGAACAACACATAAAGGATGTAGTTTGTGGTTAGGGACAAATTATGTGAAAAATACACACCTTTAAACATTGCATGCACATACTGTGGGACTAAATGTTCTCCATATAAGAAGCACTGAGAGATGGAGTGAAAGAGTAGAATCAAGTTCACTATCAGAATTTTCCTTACAACTTAAAATGTTCATTTTTTTTTTAAGATTTATTTATTTTAGAGGGGATGTGCACATGCCTGGGGGCAGGAGGAGAGGGAGAGAATCTTCAAGCAGACACCCATGCTGAGCAGGGATGGGGGCATGGGGCTCCCTCCCATGACCCGTGAGATCATGACCTGAGCTGAAACCAAGAGTCAGATGCTTAACCATCTGAACCACCCAGGTGCCTCAAGACGTTCCATCCTACCCCTTCCCCTTCTCTTTCATTTTGTATATGTAGTTGATGTTGCATGTGTTGCTTTATGTGACACAATCTTGCTAAGAGTCAAGCAGCTTTGCTGGTCTAGGGAGGATTATTTCTCTAAAATACTGAAAATCTTATTAAATATCTATTGCTTGTTGTAGCATATTTATATATCCACAGCTGGTAGAATCAGGCAGCACATCAATCATGGAAATACATCAGATCTCTCTCTAGAACTAATCAACAAAAGGGATGGCTTCAACTGTGTAAAATAAAAGAATGCCATTTGAGATGGTGCAAAATTATTTTACCATGAAAAGATGGAAAATGCTCATTTTAATTCAGTCTTCATCTTTGTTTAGGGGTCCCACTTCATGACCTGGTATAGAGTCCTTGTCCTTTCAGTACATCTGATGACTGGGGACTGGAAGGGTGTCATGAAAGTGGAAATTCTTTTTCAGAATCCGGGAGAAAATTTCAGGTGTCTCCCTTAGTCAGCATTGACTCTGTGTCCCTCATGTTGAGAATAGTTCTCCTCAACCTTACTCTCACCCCAGCACACCAAGGCAAGGGGCATGCTTCCACCAGTATAAAAGTGTTCTCAGCATGGGTGGGTCACACCATTCTATTTCCTGGGAGAGAAAAGCAGAATCTGGGGAGTCTGGATTGAGTATAGTTTGAAAAGCTTTTTCTTGGAGAGTCTATTACATCCTCCTAAGAGGTAATTCCCTTACTCTCTGACCAGTCATTATTGGTTTAAAACATTGGCGCCTGATAAATACTCATTGAATTTAAGTACTAACTTAGGGTTTCTCACACTGACTGGGGGATTTTGAATACTGTCTTCTAACCTGTCCATCCCCCTGTTTGCTGTTGTTGGCATCCACCCAAGATGTTCCTTGGAGTATGTGGAGTGGAAACTGGCCCAAAGCTTTGTGTAGTGGCTGAGAGGATCTTTCTGAAGAGTGAGCACAGTATGTTGGAGAGATTACTGCTGGAAAGCCTGTCCTGCTTACAGACTCCTTTCAAAAGAGGTTGCCCCAACCACAACCCCCTAAGAAGTAGCAATGCAGTCTGTTTCTTCAGCATTGGTGCTGTGTGGCACAGCATGTTAGCCTTCCATCTGAGTCACAGTTGGAGTAGGAGAGGACACCTGACTCAGAGGTAGCCAATCGGTGGGCTGCCCAGTGGCTTCTGAGATTGCCTCAAGTAAGAACTTTCCCCCAAAACGACAATGGTGATAGAATCAGACTCTCCCCTCTGGGGCATTTGATTATGAACTATAGACACAGAACTGGCAGCAAGAGGAAAGAGTTATAGTTGTGCAACTTGAATTATGGCTGTGTTCTGAAGATGTTTTACGAAGAGTTGGGGCAGTGGTATGCTGGGCTGGCTTTCTCAGGCCCAACAGCTAGTTACATACATCTCTGCCCCACTCTGCCTCAGGCTGGTAGGAGTACTGACACCACATCAACTGGTTTTTGTTACAACTGAGGTCTCCCTCCTCCTGATCTGGTTGTTAAAAATTTACCAGCACACCACTGGGTAAGGGAAGGGATGGTATATGGGGAGCAGGCAAGCAGTTACCTCTTCCGGGTCCTTTGTCTTAAAAACAAACAATGTTTAAGGTAATATGTTAACATGATTGGTATTAAGATTATAATAAAAATGATGTTAGAGAAAATGTTGTGAAATATATGATTTAAATATGAGTGGTTAAATTACAAAGCTCACAGGAATGTGGTCAGAGGGTAGTACCTTTCCTGTTCCTGGTGCTTATCAAAGGCAAAGCCTCCACCTCCCAGGCTCACAAAGGATGACCTGACAAGCCGGTTAAGTCTCTGGTCTTATTTCCACACGTGTTCTTTACCCCTTATTACCTGAGGTAACTTGAGTGCACACCAGTTACTTAAAACCACAAGAGCCCAGTGAATACAGTTTGGAAAATGGGACAAATTCATACAGCAAAAAGAGTATATAGAATTTTGGAACGAGCTTTGAATTCAAATACTCCTTCACCCGTTCCTGGTAACATAATTTATCTATGCCACATTCTCCTTAGTTGTAAAATACGGATAAAGGATAATAAGCTTAGAGATATTTGTAAGGATTAAATGAAGTACCCTGGGTAAAACATCTAGCACAGTGTCTGGCACTTGTTACACACTCAAGTAACTTCAACTCTTTGCTCCTCTCTCTAACATACTTATCGGAGCCTTGAAGACAGTTGAGGGATGGGGCACCTGGGTGGCTGGGTCAGTTGAAGGGCCCACTCTTGGTTTCAGCTGTGGTTGTGATCTCAGGCTCATGGGATCGATGGGGAATGCCCTTGGGCTCCATGCTCAGTGCAGAGTCCACTTGTTCCTCTTCCTCTGCTCCTTCCCCGCCTGCCCCTCTCAAATAAATAGAATCTTAAAAATAAAAAATAAAAGCAAAACCAGCTGCTGGTTTTGCTGTCAAGTCAGTAGAATTGATATAATCACTTAACTCTCCACTTATAGTAATATGAATTAGGTTGTAGGATAATGACTTGTTTATAATTTTATGTTTTTGCATATAAGGTCAACTTATATGCAACTTATAACAATTTTAAATATTACTATAATATTACTATATTAGAGTAATATTACTGTAATATTACTATAATTATTACAATCCTTTGAAACAAGCTCTTCTCTGCACTTAGCTCAGAGCTGCTGTATAGCAGTCCACAATTTACTGTGTTCATTTCCTTTTTTTTTAAAGATTTTATTTATTTATGTGACAGAGAGAGAGATCACAAGTAGGTAGGGAGACAGGCAGAGAGAGAGGATGAAGCAGGATACCCGCCGAGCACAGAGCCCGATGTGGGGCTCGATCCCAGGACCCCGACATCATGACCTGAGCCGAAGGCAAGAGGCCCAACCCACTGAGCCACCCAGGTGCCTCTCCTTTTGTTTTTAAACAACCCGTTAGACTATGGGCAAAGAACAACGTTAGTTGTAAGGGAATTAAGGAAAACCGATGCTTGGGTCCCTGGGTAGCTCAGTCAGTTGAGCGTCCAGCTCTTGGTTTCACCTCAGGTCAGGATCTCAGGGTCCTGGGATAGAGCCCTGCATTGGGCTCCATGCTCAGCAGCGAGTCTGCTTGAGGTTCTCTCTCTTTCTCTCCCTCTGTCCCTCCCCCTGACTTGAGTGCGCTCTTTCTCTCAAATAAAAATAAATCTTAAAAAAAAAGAAAGAAAAATAGACGCTTATGTAATACCCAGTTAAATATACAAAAAAGAGAAAAGGGAGTGAATATCCAATTGTTTTCCTGAGTATTCCCCTCCTACCGCCCAGCTTCTAGGTACCTAAATTGAATAATACCATGTGTCTTTTAAATCCCTTATTTACTGTATTACAGTTTATTTACCCTTAGATTACTTAGGTCATCTGCCCTTAGCCTCATTATCACTGCTAGTATATTAAGGATGAAATCTGCCCATTTGCCAGGAGTAATTCATGGGATGTGGTGTTTCTCAGTACCAGATGATTTAAGGGGAGCTACTTACAACTGGAATGGTTTTTGGCATATGGGCCTTAATAATTTGCTAGAATTAAATTTGTTTTGAAGTTTCTGCTTTTCAAATCAGCATTTTCAGACAAGCAGTGTGATGTACAAATTACCGCACTTTAGTTCACACTAGAATAATCCACACTCTAAATCTGTTTGGCATTTACCCCTTAAGAGTTTTGCATCAATAAATCATTCTTGTAGCATCTTAAAATGTTCCTAAGTAATTCTATATAACATCTTGCATCTGCAGGGTCTGTCGTGCCAGTGTGAATAAAAATAATAAATTACAGTAATTAAGATATAATTACGTTGTCTTGAAAAGCTAAGGGTCATTTGGACTTGATTACCGGAGGAGTTATCAGTGCCAAAGAAAAGGCAGGGGACTAGTGGCTTGGGCCTGTAATTAAACATCTGGGACTGACAGTTTGGCCATCGGAGGTAGCACCTTTTGAATAAATTTCAATATTGCCTTTTAGACAAGCTACAACAAATACAAAAACTAGTGTAAGGGGAAGAAGAGAGGCTGGTGGTGCAAAGGACAACCGGTCTCAACATTTAACTATTATGAAAACTGTTGTCACGAAGCCTGCCTCCACTCCATATAAAGGCTCCCGTGGAACGCAGGAGGGTGCTTTCGTGTCTTATAATGCCTATTTGTTGTGTATCAGACGGCTCACCTGAATACAGAACTGGTAGGGCCGCTGCAGCCTCACCCTCCCACACTTACAGAAGTACTTGCCAGATCTTTTCTTGCTCTCATGACCAAAGTTCTCCAGTGATCGGGGGCACAGCGGGAGTCTCCTCAAGCTCCTTAGGCGTCTTCCCTCGCGTCCTCCGCTCGCTGTCTGGTCTCCCCGTGGTGGTTTCTCTATTCTCTATCCTGCTCAGGCGTCTTAGGTGGGACCTGGGTGGGATGCTAGGCTCTGCTCTTGGGCCTCCACCCCGGAGAGGGATGCTCCCTGGCGGAGAGATTCCACCTTCTGCTCGCGCTCGCGGCCGGCAGCGTCGCGGCGGCTGTGGAGGAGGAGGATTTGGAGGAGGAGGGAGTTGGCGGCCGCCGAGGCCGGGCAGCCGCCCCGTCCGCGGCGGGCGCGCTCCGCGGTCCTCCCTCGCTCGTCTCCCATGCTCATATTTGGACTCGGCTGCCCGTGCCCAGGAATTTCCCGTCATGCCTCCCGCCGCCCCGTCCGTCGCCCGGAGCCTGGGAGGGAGGGAGTGAGGGAGGCTCGGACGGCGGCGGCAGCGGCGGCGGCGGCTCCCTGGCTCTTCCATGAGCCGGTGGCGGACCCTCCCGCGCCCCCTCTCGCTCTGCCTCTGCCTCTGGCTGGCCACGGCCGTGGCGCGGGGAGCCGCGCAGTCAGGTAAGTTTGGGCTCCCTCTCCCCCTCGCCTCCCCTCTCTCCCACCCCAGCCCTGCCAAGCTGAAGTGTGATCCAGACCCCGGATCCCCTCCGAGCGCCGGCTGCGCCCCCTTCAGCCTCCTCTGGGGACGCCCCCTGTCTTGGGCCGGGGGCGGGCACTGAAGGGGAGCGCCCCGCGCGGGCGGTGGGGTTGGGGGGGGGGGGGCGGATGGAAGGAGGTCAGGCTGGATTCGCCCCCGCCTACGGGAGGCGTCTGGCCGCCTTGCTGACACCTTATCCCGTCCCCGGAGCGAACCTGAGCCGGAGGGACGCTCTCGCCGGACGCGGGCCCCCGGGGAGGGGCTTGGCGGGGCAGCCCGCAGGAGGCAGGGGAGGGGGGCCGCGCGGGCTTCGGGAAGGACGGGCTCCCACCGAAGTGCCGGCTCGGATAACGGGCTGGGGTGCGTGGGAATGCGCAGGTCAGGCCCGCGCCTCCGGCTGCGCGTCCGGAGGGCGTGGGGCGCGGGGCGGAGCTGGGGGCGGCGAGCAGGGGGCACCCAGAGGCGCACGGTCGCCCGCCAGCCGCGTCGCCCGCGCCCGGGGCTCGGGCTCCCGCTCCCCGCGGGCCCCGCTGGTATTTAATAGGCCCAAACCGAACAAAACCCCGAGTTTGCCAGGTACCAGTTTTGTTTTGTTTTTGAGCGGAGAAAAGCATCCGAGTGTGTTTTTTAAGTTTTACACTGGACTATTTAAAGTCAAACTCTGTGAACGAAAGGTGCCATTCCTGCCTTCTTTGGTTTAGGACTATAATTAGGGTAATTCTGAAGTCTTAGGATGATTTTTAAAGATCATTTTCTTTAAATCATGTGGAAAATATCAGTGAGGATTTTTTTCTAAGGTTGTAAAAGGTAATTACTTGAAATTACAAATGTAGAGTTTAAGGTGCATGTGAAATTGCATGAACTTTGATATTTGTGATGAGCGTCTAACTTACTAATCATCAGAGCTTCTCAGTTCTTAGTTTTTGCTGGAATGGGAGAAGAAAAATCGTAATTCCTCAGTTGAGATTAGGGAATTTTAGTTTGTTTTTGTTTTTTGCCACTAGTAGACTAAACTGTCAACATAAGATATGGCTCGCAATTAGGACTTATGGATTAGTTGGAGACTCTGTTAAGCATAGATTATATTCAGAACTTTCTGGTCTGTCACTTCATATTCCGTTTGCAGCACTGGTGGCAAAACAGATTTTACAAGATAGTCGGTCCATAAAAACATCTTCAGGATTCATGTAACTTATAAAATTGCCAATTTAGATTAACAGGAGATTTTTAAAATGTTTGACTTTATTAAATGTGCAGCTTATTAATTTAAGTAATGATACCAATTTCATGTTTGCTTTTGACTAGAACTGTTTTTCAGAAAGCCTACTTTTTACGAATTCATATTTTAGGAGTATCTTTAATAATACTTCTTGGGCAATACGGGAAGTTCTAACTACACATTTTATTAGTGGTCTTCTAGAAAATACTGTGCTGGACAATAAAGAGTGGATTGTACTGCCAGGGAATATATGTTTTTTGTTGTTGTTGTTTTTCCCCCCTCAGTGATGTGTTGACTTACCTAATACTTGTGGTAAAGCAGCCCTTGAAGACCAAAATCCATTGCATCGTGGCCCCTTGCCAGTACTTTTGAACACCAAGTTTATATTTGGATCCTTTAAACATTCATTCTTTTAATTTTGGTCCCAGCTGACATATAAGTCTAATTTCTGATGACTTTTATTAGGGTCCTATGTGAACATCTGGAATTTTTTTTATATTAAAAGAAGTAGTTCTCTGCCATATAGAATTTTGTCACAGTGCCTAAACTGCCTATCTGCCAAGGTTGCAAACATACAGCATTATTTACGTTTTGCATCAACTCATAGATTTTTAGTTTTTTAAGGTGCTTGTTCTAGTTTTCCTAACTAAAATGTTAACCAATTAGGTCAGAAATCTTTACTACTATTTTGCTAAACTCAAGTAACAAGAATATCCAGAAAAGATCCCAAGAGTAGTTGCATAGATTTTTTCCTACATTTTTCTAATACATTTATCCTTTTTAAATTAAAAATAAAATTTCAGCCATTAAAGATGAACTTTGGGAAATAATGCTTTTTTGGTCTATTATCTGATCACAGTTCTTTGATTTTACCTTGCCTGTGTTACCAGCTGTTGCCAGCGTTCAGTGGCTCATTGTCATCTCACTTTATTATGGTTGGGGATTTGGTTCAGATGTTTGCTTCCTTCTCTGTAAAGTGATGAAGTTGGACATAGTCTCCATGTCCCTTCAAACTCCAGGATACTGTAATATTGTTTTTGTTTATATAATCCTGCAGAGCTGCCTACACTACATTGATTCAAACTTCTGATTATCACCTCTGACTTGCTATACATGTTAAACTGGTCTACTTGTGGTCATATCTGATTGGTGTGGATCCAGCTTGTGGAACATCTTGATATCTGGCACATGCGCAAAGATGCACATATGTTGACAGAGTTCCATGATATTAAGCTTCTGCTACTTTCTCTTCCCCTTATCAAATAGAAGTAACATAAGCTTGTTATGTCATAGGGTAAATGTCTAACTGCTCTTTGGGGCAGTTAAGCCCAGGCCCTAAGATGGTTTGGTATTCAGTTTTGGAATTTGTGTCTGGGATAGCAATACCACTGTAGAGCACCCAAACCTTTCTGTGGTTGGGAGGCTGTGGCTAGTTATTTGGGGGCATTCCAGATGAAATGCCCTACATTCCTACAAAATGCCCTATTGATCGTACTTGGACTTACCCATCTTGTTTATTCAGAATTAAATTGAATTTGGATAGGAGGGTAATCAGATTGCTATTTAATTTTCCAGTTGTTAGCATCTGTGATTGCTGTACAGATATCTCAAGGCTTTACTTTGAATATTCCTATATTTTCTCCTTTTTGGGCACAATTGGTTTTTCTTTTAAAAGGCTCAGCAGGGTCTGGATACTTGTTCACATATTTTCTCTATAGCATACCAAAGTCATCTTTTATGGCCTTTAAGTAAATTCGAAGAAAGAGAAAAGAAATTATAGAAAAGGTAGGCCCGTAATAAATCAACCAATTGACTTTATGGAGGATTTGGTTATTGTCTCATTTAAGCTTCTGTTGCAAGTAATAGAAATGAACTTGAACTAGTTTTAGGAAAACGAAAGAAAGGAATTTGATGGATGCTAAATGCAGACAGACCAAATTAGGGACCAGGGACTGGAAAATGTGGAACTTTCCCTGTCTCTACTCTTTACCTTTCTTTGCTTCATTGTTCTTTCTTTGCTGACCATTTTTTCCCCTGCTTTCCTGTGTTCATGGTTGAATTTGACTCCTCAGCAGCTCCTGAGTATTTACGTGTCCCTCAAGTTGCAGGGAAAGACTAAATCATTGAGGCTTGATTCTGAATTCCTGAGAGAAAGAACCTGATAGACACAGTTTGGGTCTTGATACAGATTTTCCCTAAGGTCTCTTCAAATGCTGGAGTTCTTTGTAGTAGGTACTGCAGATATTTATGTGATTTGATTTTGCATTTTTACATTTTGTATTATGGGGTTATTTGTCCTTAAAGGGTATAATTTTCTCTTGATTGCCATGTGTATCAGAAAGAGCTTGCCACCTTCTGTGGGATCCTAGGATATTAGAGCAGTTCATTCACACTGAAGCAGGAATGCTGAAATGCCCAAGAGGAAGCTTTGGGGAGTGAATGGAGAGTAGCCCCGCATTTAAGAGTCACAAAGCAGTCTGGGATTCACCTCACTTGTGAAAATCCTGTTTAATAAGAGCTGATCGACCCTGCAGATAATTGTCTACATATTTTCAGGAATTCATTTAATTAAAATGCTGGACTCAAATAGCTCTTAAGGGTAAATTCATTAAAATTATTTAAGTGATAATTAGATACATTCAAAATGGTAATAGCTTAGGGAGTTCCTTAGTTATTTTCCTGTTCCTCACCTGTGTCTAGCATTTTCCATCTCTTCCTTTCCTTTAGACTGCTTCCGCTGCCTGGCTTGTTTTTCTCTCCTAACCTGTCTTTCAGGCCTTGATCTCAGGGTTCTTTGCAAAGCTTTTTTCACCTCTTAGAATTTGTCATTTCCTTGTGTTTCCAAGACATTTTGTACCTTGATTGAAGCATTATTTTACCATCTTGCATTATCAAGTCCATATGTACTCATCTTCTTCACTAGACTGTAAGTTCTATTAGACCAATGAATCACCTAGAAGAATCCATATAAGCTGTTAGCAACCCATCATCCCAAGCATAATGATTCCAGCTTTTTCAAACGTTCTGAAGCTTGTATGGCATCCTGCTTGTCACTGCCTTCTTCAGACAGTGGAGCTCAATCATATCGCTCTTCTTTCTCAGTCCTTGTCTGTTTTTTAAATGTTACAGGCTTTTCCGTGAATATTCTAATTTCTTGTGTGATGATCAGATATATAGAACGATAAGATCTTTCCCTACAAACTGAGATGGGTGGGGAAGGCAACGGATATGGAAGGAAATTGACTTGTGTTAAGCACCCAATATATACCAAATTAGATAGAGAGGGCAGGTACAGGAAAACATGGGAGCATATATGAAGGGGAATAGTGGGAAGATAAAGTATAAAAATTAGGTTTGGCCTAGATTTTTATATTAATACTTTTTAAATATTTATATTTTTATATTAATACTAGAATTTTATATAAATACTTTTAATACTAGGCTAGAAGATTTGGATTGGGTTAGCAAGCTAAATCCTCAAAATCAGAGTTGGATTATAAAATATATTATCTAATAATTCAGAGGATGAATTGAATCAGGAAAGAAACCATTGGATTAATAAAGAAAGGCTATAGGGATTTTCTTAGGGAGTGAAGACCTGAGCTAAGGTGGTGGTATTGGGATTGGAGAGATGTTGCTAAGGTAGACCAGACAGAAATAGACAATTGGAGATGGGGAAAGAGAGAGATGACTAAAAATGAT